ACGTCTATATAACTAGTAAGTAAATCTTCTATAACATAAATACCACCGGATTGAACTTTTGGTAGTAGATGATTAAACGAAGTAATTTGTTGATTCATTGTATGACCACCATCATCAACAATAACATCAAATTTACCTTTTGTTGATGTTATATTATTTAAAACTGCTACATCATCTTGACTGCCATAGAACATTGTGATATTCAACTATAATAGAAAAATAGACGGTACGATCGTAGACCAAAAATTAGATAAAATGATTTTCATTCTTGAGATATTAAAAAAATATTTACCTTCGGGTTGTGAGCTTTATGCCAAGCTTCACCACAGGCACGATTGAATTCAAGAAAATAAATATTTGCTTGTGGTCCGAGATATTGACGCCATACATGTGCTGATGCTCCAGCTCCATAATCCATTCCACATCCAAGTCCAATTTCGAGTATATGTAAATTAGATCCTACATATTTTCTTATATATTTCTCATAAAGTACTTCATAATGATGAGTAGTAACTTTGTCTGTTCTATATTGTTGACTTACGCGTAAAAATGAATGTTCGTCTGAAATTTGATCTTTACGATAATTTACACCGTCTGAAGTTATATCAGGAGTTTGACAAAGATTTTGAAATATTTGAGTACTATAATATGAATCTTTAACATATAATAACAGTCCAATCAATGCTAGGGTGCATGTTGCAATAATAATTAAGCGATTGTTCATTGTATTGAATTAACAATATTTAATTCTTCATCTAACTTAAATAAAAAATAAAAATAACTACAATAAAGTTTTTATAATCATAGTATTCTGTCTTTTAAAAAAAAACAACTTAATTAAATTATTATTGTTATTCTCAACAAATTAATTTGCTAACAAATTTTCTAGATAACACGTCTACTGATTGTTTTCTTAAGAATCAAATAAATATTTATGAATCTTATTCAATACTGATCTGTAAAGAAAATATTGATAGCGTTTTTAACCTTTACTATTGAGAAATCTACTGATTAAAATTAACTCAATAGTAGTTTTACTTTGTTAATTGCGCATACATGCGAAAAAACATAATTAACACTTACTTCAAGATAATATCCTGTATTAAAATATGATAATTTATCTTCCGTGTATTGTTCCTTATTAACACTTACAAATTCATTTAATATGATCTCATTTATAGTACACGCACATACTAGTGTAATTATAGTTGATCTTGATTTAATACGAAACAGTGAATACGTAGTTTACCGCCTCTTTTTAATTAAAAAAAGGAGTAAGACAAAGATTTTTCTTTTATCAAGTAATTTGATAACTGAGAGAAGTGCGATAAACAGGGTTGCCAAATCCAAACTTAGAAATCAGGAAGTTTTCGTTAAAACACAGGAGTTGATTAGGAGATTTTCTTTAAAAATCAGGAGCGTTTTTTCTTTAACCAACAAGGAAAATGCAGCAGTGTCACGCACTTTTTATTCTCAAACGTTTACAGTTTTGGTTCTTAACAAGCGAGTTAATGAAACGATCTATCTTACTGAGCAAAACAAACAAACACAGGAAGATAATTACACATCGTTTAGTTTACTAATTATTTTCAAGCTATACATTGAAAAATACAAATAAAACTGATATAAGCATGTCTTAAGAAACTTCCGAAGAACCGAAACAGAATAGAGTAAAGCACCTACATCCTTTTTTGATATTATTACTATATGTTTGTATTTTTCTTCAAAGTGAATTTGTTTGTTTAACAATTCTATACTATTTCACAGATTTAATCATTCTAATTTTGAGCTCGACATCCATTAAACTTATTTTTTTATTCTATTTCTGTTATCATATCGTCAAAATTTTGTGTAACTGATGATTAGTTCTTTAAACTCATTATTTATCGACCCATGGTAGCACTAAAATCGGATGGAATCTAACAAGATCGACCGGCTTGTAGAGATGGAAATTTTACGAATTGAGTTTTGTCAATAGCCTCTTCTTTGTCGATCATATTTCTGGCGACAAAAAAACCTAATATAGCGTACACATTACTGGTAGAGTTGGTAAGATAAGGCACAAAACGCAGCTTACCTAATTATCTATTGTAATGCTCAGTTAAGAATATGATTTTTGTTGCATGTGTCATATATGCTCTCTGAAAGTATACCCTCGCACAAAACTCTTTCCTCTATTTGTTTCTATTTTTATCATACCTTGTATAAAATTTATTGTCGAATGAAATATAACTTCGGAGTTTTATTATATTGAAATAACACGCTGAAGTCATATCTCTACTAGACAATAAATTCTATACAAAGTATGACAGCATAGTGATCAAAATGATGGACAGATTTATTTTGTTCGTAGATGTATCTCATATTTGGATTCACATTTTTTCTAGAAAGTTTTTGTTAAAACCTAGGTAAGAAATGAAATAAAAATTAGGAGAAAATCTTTAAAATCAGTTCCTGATTTCAGAAGAAATATCGTCAGGAGAAATGTTTAAAAATCAGGAGGTTTGGCAACCCTGGTGATAAATATTAAACGCTCTTCAATGAAAAACCTATTTGTAAACTGATTGATTTATTTTTTAACTTAAGTTTTTTTCCATAGATGCGCAATTGTAATCCGTAATTTTTTTTGAATGTAAGACTATGATATAACTTAATATTTATTAATGAATTCATTATATCTATCTGGGTGTACATAACCACTTCCTTTTTAAGACATGCTTATCATACTCTCAAAATATTAAATTTCTACCGGTATGTGCTATTTCACAACTTGATATTCTTTAATAAATAATTATCAGTAACTCAGTGTAAAATCAGATCTTTCTTTTCTTATGATTTCTTCAATCGATTTTTGTTAGATTTGATACTACTCGACTCAGTGGTGGGCTTAGGGGGGAGGGCAATCACCCCCATCGCCCCCTTCCGAATTTTTTTTTTATTTTTTACAGCGAAAATGAACAAAAAAATAGATTCACACTCAGAAAATAGTTTTTAGTCAAAATCGCCCGCCTCCCTTCTAAAATCCTAGATCCACCACTGACTCGACTCCTGCGATTGATAATTTCCTTACTCTATATTTTTAACAATATTCAGTCGATCTTCTATTGCATATACAAAACTTATAGAATTTCCATCTTCTACTTTCAAGTTAACTTACTTTTGCTTTTTAACTAATGTAAAGTGTGTAGTTTAAAAAAATTGTTAAGTTCAATTTAAAAAAGAAATAAATGATGAGTTTTCCCATAGGAAGAAAAAAACTTTAAATTAGAAAATAATTAGGTGATGATTGGACAAAACTTTCACTATCAAGCAACAACACCATGGAAATCGACTTCTCTTTTATTTTTTTTCTCTCTCTCTCCAATATACAATGTAAACGACGGTTGACGTTCTCATCGATTTCCATTATAAATTAAACAAAAAAAAAGAATATATAAGTAGAATTTATGATATACACCTTCTTCTCTCGACTCTTTTCTTTCAAACAAAGCAAACGGAACTAGTACGTGTTACTCAGTGAAAGAACAAGAAACATGTAAGTTTAATTTTTTTTTTTACCATAAAGAATTTTTCCATTCCTCATTCTAAAGACATCCGTTACAATGCAGAAGATGGAGATTGACGTAAAATAAAAACAATTAGTATAATTGTTAGGAAAAATATAAAGAAAAATGATTGAATTGTTTTATCATTATTATATACTACTTCTACTATCAAAAAAGAAAGACATCCATTAATTGACTGCTATAATAAAATCCTTTCGTTTACGTATCAGTTCAACTTATTTATTTAATTTTTTGTATTACAATATAAAAAAAACTTTACTAATTATTTTTTCGTGTTTATTCTAATAAATATTTTATTACTGAATACTACATTTATTTTGTTGAATATATTGATAATGTTCAGGACAATGTGGATATCTTCCACCATGAGCACTTGGCAATTCCATTACATGTGTTAAACATAATAAACGATTACAAGGTCTTCCAGAAGTCATTCCATACCAACATTTAGCAGCAGCAACACTACCACAAATAGAACATGCATTTCCATCAGGTGCCATATGATTTACTTGCGTATGTGGAGTATTTTGATTGGATGGTATTAATGTATATTGAATAGGTTGACCATTGATGTCTAATAATGAAATTTGTCTTGGATGTGCAGCTGGATTATATGGAATTGTTAGAAAAGAAGATTGAGGTACAGGTATTTGTGGAATAATAACTGGTTTACCATCACTTACGAATGAATTCGAATCGTTCATTTATTAAATTAAATTTCGAAATATAATATCATTAATAAAAATTTTAACTGTATTTATATACTAATTTCTAATCTTTTTTTTCTTCTATTCTCTTGAATTCTTTTTTTTATCTTCTACGTGTCACCTACAACACAAAAAAAGACCTATTTTTTTTTAAAGGTATGTTATTGTTGTGACGTGTATAGGAGCAATTAAATAAATATGATAACCTATGCAAATATAACTGAATCACGATTGCATCGTAAAATGATAAGTTGAGCAATAACAAAGAAAACGGATTAATAGAAATTAGGTACATTTTTGTTATCGAAATTTTAAACATCTATTTTTCTTTGAAATTTCAATTATACAATTTTTAAAATAATAAAATATAATTAAAACAATACAAATATATGTTATATATCTTTTCTTTTCTTCAGTATTCTAATGAATGGTCCATCGTCTATTAACGTTCATATTTTTCGCATGACCTGATATGTACTCACATAAAAGAATGATGAACAATATAGATAATATATCAATAAAAAAAAAAGAATAACGAGTAGACGAATATAAAACAATCATTTCTTTCTCACATGATGTCATATACTTGTATACTATATAAATAGAGACCATTGTATTCAATACAATTTCTTTGGAATATATATCATTTCTTTTTT